CACACATATTCAGAGAAAAAAGTGTTTGAAAAAAATATTATATACAGTGTGTCCGTTTTACCTGGAAATATGTAAATATCTCGAAAACTATGGGCGATACAGAAAAATGTTTTAAACAAATGTTGTACGATGTTAAGGGTGTTAAGAGAGCAGCAGTTTATGACACGGACGTGCCAAGGAGGCTGGTTTTGAAATTAGGACTTTAGTTCATTATTAGCATGTTTCAAGAATTAAAATATATCCTGGTGAGAGAAAAATTACAAGTTAATTTCTCTGGTTCTAAATAGCTAAACCGTGTCATAAAGTAGGCCTTCCGAAGGGTGACTCAAGATCTATTGTAACGGTCACAGGATCGACGCAATCGCAACCTGGAGGAAATTCCGCGTTGTTGCTAAACCTTCGCCACCTACGTCAAGCCACCGTCACCCACTCCCCAAAGCAACGCGCTAATTAAAAAGTAATTACGCGATTTAAAAAGTAACAAGAAACCAATCAACGTGCACTCCATTCGAAGGAACTAGACCTAATACACATAAAAGAGATAAAACGGCATTAAGAAAAAATCGACACTCAAGTGTGGTACTGACCGCGACACGCGTCTCTGTAAAACTACTTATTAAAGTGCGACTAGTTCGTGACATTCGAAAACCAGAGAACTTCACGGCAGCTACTCTAGTCCTCATTGTGTTGGCATATAAGTACGTGCAATAATTAACAAACAACGCCAATCCGACCTTCATTCACAACGAAGCGCGGGAAGCTGCGTTGACAAAGGGGGACAAGGGGAATATACTATATCGATATTTATTTTATCTTGTAATGAACTCGGAAAGCCCTGTAAAGGTCACGTTTATATTTTTCAATGGGAACTATATTTTTTATTACTTATTCTTGTAGCCGACATCGAAACATTTTCAAAACACTACTAACTTGTATATTTCGCATAAACTTACTAAACCTAATATTAATTTGACGGATAACTGTGCGATCGAGAGTTCATTATTCGGAACGCGATGCACATAACACAATAACACCACGCTGCGTACATCAGGAAACACTAATATGTACATATAAAACGTCGGCATATTAACTTTGAAATTTAGTATCTTGATTGTAGCTTACGCGAAAGATACAAGTTAGTAGTGTTTTGAAAACGTTTCGATGTCGACTACAAGAGTATGCAATAAAAAATATAGTTCCCATTTAAAAATACAAACGTGGCTTTTACAAGACATTTCGAGGTTATTGCAAGATAAAATAAATATCGGTATCATGTGTCCCTCTTGACATTGTACAATATTTGCTTGAAACATTTTTCTGTATCACTAATAGTTTTCGAGACATTTACATATTTGCAGATAAAACGAACGCACTGTATATTTATACACATAGAGGGTGTACCAAAGTTAAACAATCAAACTTTACCACTGTGTTGTATGAGTACAAATAAGAAAAAAGTGTTATATACACACAGGTTTGCAAATGCTTTACAAAAACTTTATAACAAAAATGTGAAACCTAAAAGCAGTAGCGGATTCACTGCTAATATATACAATACAATGTACAAATAATGTTTTTGAACAAAGAATACGCTGATATGGTTTTTATTTACGGCTTCTGCATTGGAAATTCTCGAGCTACCGTGAGATCATAGGAACGAAGATTCCCTAACAGAAGAGTGCCACATTTCTCGGCACTTCGCAGACTTTCTACATGGTAAAGACTTTCCGATCAGCAGGTCCATTTCGCAATGTACCTGAACAGCACGGAGTTGTGCATCTGCATCACTTTAGTGACATATCTACAGAAAATGTACGGCGAGCTTTGCATCAATTGCAGATACCTCAATCAACTATTTGGAGAACGTTAAGTAGATATCGGTCCACTACATACTAGTATAGGATCATTTGCCAGATGACTTTAAGAAACGATTATAGTTCTGTAAATGGTACATGCACGTTGTGCAAGCAGATGCTTCCTTCCCATCAAGAATGTTAGGGATAGACGAAGCTACTTTTACGAGAAGAAGTTTTTTTAATTTCCACAGTATCCATGTATGGGCACAGGAAATTCATATGCTTTGC